ACAAAAAGCGTTGACTGTTCACCCAAATAGGAACTATCGAAGGAAGTTCGACCTGGGTGACGTGAACACATATCGAGATTTACATTCAGTATGAATAAGCGATAAAGCGATATATAAACAGGATTAAGTTCTGGAATTTTCAACCGTATACTGTAAAATTTAACTGTTTTCGTCCCATAAGGCGAGAATAGATGAGTAGCAAACGGGCCTAGCCCACGACCTGTCATAAACCACCAGAAATCGAATGTCTTCTCGTCGTTCAGCTGATCTTAGTTTTCATCTCCAGTCGTATTTCAGTTTTTTACTTGCGAATATTTAAAATTGAGAAATGCCGCATGGAAAGGTGTATATATGAAACAACGGGAAGAAAACAAATTGCGAGGAGCACAAATAACAAGAACACAAACTGGGGTCGGCGATGTCATCGTGGGAGCGAAAAGGTTGTAATGATGATGAGCAAGATAAGTTGCAAAAAAACACCGTGCGAAAGAGACACTAAACTGTGTTCCAAGGGACAATAAACAGTTCGTGGGTAAACCTCCAGATCGATGGTAAGATGAGTTAAAAACGTGGAAAAAATCGCAGCAGACAGAATTTTAGAGAGGCCATTTTCCAGAAGCGGATCAAAAGGGGCTGACGATGGTTATGATATCATTATTATTATTATTATTCCGTTTTTCAGTTACCTATGAACTGGATAAAGTCGAATCACAGCTTTAAATCGAAAGCAGCAGACAGTATGGCCGTAAGTCTATCGCATGTAATGGTATAACCATTCCAGAACATCAGGCTGTTTCTCTCTTTCGTAGGTCGAAGACGTACCGCCCGTTTCGGCTACTTGCACCGAAGTACAAAGGGGCGAACTCATTGTTCAAGTTAATTAACAATCGGGAAAATAAATTTTCGCCTGCGCATTTGATTTGAATCCGGCACTTCTGCCGTGCCAACGATACCACTTAAGACACTGTACCGGTGCACCCACCCCCAGTCATGAACTTTTCGTTTGCGAGATAGATTTGTTCTGGCCCGGCAGCTGGATGTTGTTTTCTATTTACAGCGTAGTGAAAGTCAGAAGAAAATTCTTCCATATAATTAAATTTAGAACCAAGCCATTCAGGAACTTTATTCGCAACACTGTATTAAGAGTAAAACTGAAGAATAGGAGAAATGGTGAGAACAAAATTTTTCCTATATAAATTCTACTTTACACGGTTAATGTAACTGAAACTGTCATACGATGTACTCAGATCTTTCCTGTAGGGTCTTGATAACATTCCACGTGAGAGTATTACACTTTTCGGAACAGGGCAGATGAGAAGCTCCATTATTTTAAAAAGCTGAGGAAATGAAAATATATCGGAGTTACCTTGAGTGCGTCGAACTGTATTTGTTTGCTACTTAGAAAGGAGCAATTCTGGCAGGTTTGCACGAGTCACCAATTATTTAAGGCAGACAATCTCGACTGTGCTGCAGACTCAACTTATCTTCTGCCGGAGTTCAAATGCTGGTACAGGATCAATAATGTTGAAGACACTGTCTGGCGCTGCTGCTGCTGTCCGCGACCAGAGGGGATAAGAGGCCATCAGAATTGACTGGTGGTTCTAGTTCAAATAGAAGTCCAGTAAGGATGAGACCGACAAATGTCGCCTTCTTTCAGAGTTATGACATTATCAGTACTGCAACCTACAGCTAGGGCCAGTCAACCACTGCTATGTGTGACTATCACAGAGTGATTGCTGCTCCCTGCACAAAGCACCGGAAGTGCATTGAAAATGGAAAATGTTAATAACTGGATGTAATATCAGAGGAAAGACCAAAAGCACACACATAATAAACACTATCTGTCAGGAATATACCATCCACCAGCATTGTCGAACGGACATGCTGTCCGTCAGAAGCTCGAAAATGACTGACGGTCAACAGGCTATTGTAAATTGGCTGTTGAAAGCGATAGAGGCGGAAGGATGATATCAAGGAATCAGAATGTGTCATCTGTTTTCTTCTTAAATTTGTATTTCCATGAATATATATTAATATTTCTTCTTCATTTTCTTAAATCGTTCACCAAACATATTCATCTTCCATTCGCTTTGTTCTTGAATCACCGCCGATCACCTCTTGTTCACAGGATAGATACAGGGATTAATACGGTCGGTGGTTTCGAAATGCGTTGTAGATTTTCAGTGATGAACATGTTCCAAGCCTATGGTAGGTTCAAGGTTAAACTGAAAATAATTTTGTCGTTTATTTCTGCTACATTAGCATTTTACCGTCCTATTCTTGCACAGACATTGGCTTTGACGACAAACTCAATCAAGGAACGACCAACCCTCACGGCGAATTTTACCTTGAGGGAGAATCGAACGAGAAGCGATCGATCGATCCGTTGTTGAAAATTTACCACGAATGCATCGACCATTTCATTTGCGAACGCGAGTGGAAGCTGGGCATCCCGAAGGACTACATCGCGTGGAACAACAGGAACTTAAAGGTTTTCAACATCGGTACTTTTAATCTGGAACTCAAGCCTCGTTCTGAAAAACGTGATTGTGCTTGATTTTAATCGAAATTACGTTTTCTTCGGCGTTCGTTGCATTTTGTCCATTTCGTTCGCTATTTGCTGATACATAGCAAGTTTGTATGTAGTGGAAAAACTTTCTTGCCGCCTGTCAATCTAATGCTTGGCCAGCACCTAACTTTTCAGATAAACTTTACGCACTGATAAGTGTGCTGGCAAAAACGCCCTTCACCCTTCACTGTACCCGCTTTACCTCCATCATAGAACACACTAGGATAGCATCTGATTTAATACATCAATTTGCTTACTTTTGTTTGTCGTTCTTCGGCTACCGAAATGTAAGCGCAATCAACGCACATCATAATATT